CATCTCCAAAAAATGTCTAGGAGTTCGCAATTTACAAAGTAATGCAACAACTAAAAAAAATGGAGAAAGTATTAAATAATATTAAGAACATCACAAGAGATACAAATGGTCATGAGACAGACATTATGACTAAAAATACAGAAAAACAATTAGTGAAAAAATACAAACTTTTTTTTTTAGAGTATTTTTTTTAGAGAAAGAAAATGAAATAAAAAGTTTTAAAAATTGAATATCTTTTAACATTTAAGTGAGATAGGTAGCATTTAATGTTTATATTTTTCTAAAATTGAAGTAATTTGAATAAATAAGCTCGGGTTCTTTGAATTTTTATGCAATCATTTTTTCGCCCCACTTGAAGGATATTTGAAATAATATGCTCGTGTACTTTTTATTTGTATTCAATGTTCTTTCCATCTTTAAAAAAAAGGTGTACCATGCATATGCTACACTCAGGTGTAAGAACCACTAATAAAATTTAGAGTTGATCATATCCTCATATCATACAATGTAAATAATTAGAATAAATAGTAATTAGAATGTTTTCGTGCTAATTCATGGTATTTTTATTTCAAAGGAAACAAAATCTTAGTTGGCAAAAAAATTAATGATATAGAACAATGAAAGTATATTTTAATTTTTATGCTTTAGTGGCAGACTTAAATCCTACCTATATATAACTTATATTTTAATTTTAGTTTATTCGTCTCTTTTAATTCGACACTTTAGAGACGAGACAGCTCGCGCGAGCTACTCGGTCAACACTCGATCAACACTCGACTCAAATAAGCTCGAGCTTGACTCAGGACTCTAACGAGTCGAGTCGAGCAAGCCGCTACTCGACTCAAAAAGCTCTTGAGAAGCTCGATATAAGTAACATTTTTTCTAAAAAATATTTATATACTTCAAACAATTTTAAAAAATTATTCTCTCTTAATTTCTTAAGTCTTAGTTTTAAAGGATAATGCATTAAGATAAGAAATAATATTAATATAATTTTTGTAACCACAATAAATATAATATACAACAACATTAAACAAAAAACACACTATTACTTTACTTAAATCAAATATTACAATTCTTTAAGAAAATAAAGCAAATTTAGATTGTATAAGTAATAAAATGTTATGTATATTAGAATGTTGATTGTATGTATATGGGTATAGTTGTACAAAACTATAAAAATAATAATGTGATGTTACACAACTTGTACCATATCGAAAAATTATAATGAGGTAGAGTAAAATGAGAGATATATAAGAGAACACTAATGGACATAGTACTGTTAAAACGGTTTGACAGTTCGGTTTGAAATCGGTTCGGTTTGAAATCAGGTCGGTTTGAAATCAGGTCGGTTTGAAATCGGTTCAAATGTCTTACGGGTCGGTTTCAGTTTGGTTTAAATAATTATCGATTCGATTCGGTTTCGGTTTATTCTTGAACGGTTTAAATTCGGTTCGGGTTGTAAACGGTCCGGGTAGTAAACGGTTCGGTGCAAACGGGTTGCGGTTTGTTAACGGTTCGGTGTAAACGGTTTTTATCCCGATTTAAATTTGGTTCGGGTTGTAAACAATCCGGGTTGTAAACGGTCCGGGTAGTAAACGGTTCGGTGCAGACGGGTTGCGGTTTGTTAACGGTTCGGTGCAGACGGGTTGCGGTTTGTTAACGGTTCGGTGTAAACGATTTTTATCCCGGTTCAAACAGTTTCGGGTTAGAAACGGTTCGGTTCTTTTTTGGTTCAGTTTTATTTTAGTTCGGTTTATAACTGGTTCGGTTCGTTAACGGGTTCGGTTCTTCTACGATTTAACATTATTTGGATCGGTTTTATTTCAGGTTTACTAAATTACAGTTCGGGTCTGTTTTTGATTTAAAAAAATCGGTTTTTTATCGAGTCGTTTGGATTCGGGCAATTAAACAGTTTTGGTTTGAAATTTTATACTACTTTCTAACTTTTTGCTGGTTAACAAGTTTTATATCAAGCCGAGACTTCATCACTTCATATTGAGGCATCAAATTATATGCAAATTCTCATTAATTTTATAATTACATATCATGTTATGTTTCAAGTTTAGCCATACTAATCTTACTAGTTTATTACGAAGTAGATTATAAAAGTTTAGTGCATTGATGTATTATTGTTTTACTATCAGATTATTATCTGCTTCTTATTTGATCATTTAGTTAATAGTGTCATAATCATGATTTGATGAGTTGTTGTAAGTGGTTTGTAAACGGTTCGATTTATAAGCGATTCGGTTCATAAACAGTTCGGTTTATAAGGGGTTCGGTTTATAAACGGTTCGGTGCAAACGGTTTGCAGTTTGTTAACGGTTCGGTGTAAACGGTTTTTATGCCAGTTCAAACGGTTTCGGGTTAGAAACGGTTCGGTTCATTTTCGGTTCGGTTTCCTTTCAGTTCGGTTTAGATTTGGTTCGGTTCTTAAACGGTTTAACGTTACTCGGATCGGTTCGGTTTCGGGTTTACTAAAATACGGTTCAGGTCGGTTTTCGGTTTTAAAAAATCGGTTTTTAATCGATTCGGTTCTCATTCGGATCGGTTTGAATCGGTTCGGTTTGACCAGTTCGGATTGGTTTTTGACAGTACTACTAATGGTATTAGATGATCTACAAACCCACATTCCGACATTGATGTTTCGGAAAAGAAGATAGGTAAGAAATGTTATAAAAGTAACACAACATTGTACTTGATAATTAGTGTAGGCCTTATATTGGGACATGCCATTGAGTACAAAATCAAGTTGAACTCAAATCAAGCTAGAGTCGTGCTTTCAAGCTAGAGCTGAGCTTAAATAGAGCTTGGCTTCGAGCTTAGTGTTGAACTAAGGAGTCGAGTTCAGGCTTTAAAATGTAAGCTCGCGAGTTTTCAAGCTTGAGTTGAGCCTAATGAGTTCGAGTTGAGTTTAGCGATACTTGAACTCGACTCGCATCATAATCAGCCCTGACTTGGCCTCTACATTTGTTGGAAATTTTTTATTTTTTTATTTTTCACTACTAATTATAATTAGGCCTCAAAATCTCTCAACACTCTCCTGCAATTGTAATTATTTATAGACGATATAAAATCTAACTTGCTCTTAATCCCACTATTGCAATCTTTTATAGACAATCAAAATCTAATAAGCTCTAACTATCACGCAATATTAGGTTTCAAAATATCTTATACTTTCTCTGTCTTTTTATACTTGCAACACACTTTTTATCACGCTTTTTGAAGAGGTGATAAAACTAGGTAAATGAATAAATTAAGCTATAAAATTTAAACCGTAATAACTTATCCCTTTCTTATAGGTGGTAAAATTTTGTGAATTAATTTATCCGTGTACTTAGTCTAATATCTTCCTTAAAATATGTATTAAAGGATGACGGAGAAAGTTTATTGATTCCTACCTTTTGTATTTTTGACGGAAACTTGGGAAGTAATTCGTGGTTCTACACACACTGACTGTCTGACACACTTAAATACAATTGCAAGCTTACAAACTCTGTTGCTACTATTTATAGGTTGATGTCGGTCAGATTTTCTGCATCACATTTTTGCTTTTCATAGAAAGTAAAAGGTTTTCTAGTACTACGTATATTGACTTTGCCGACATACTGGATATTTATATTTAATTTTAATGTGCATGCTCTTTTGTCTTTTTGCCCACTTTCCAGTGGCTACGGGAAAATTGCTGGATATTGTAATTACTACATTACTTTTATATGCAGCTTTGAAATATTTTATATCTCTTAAATAATACTCTAAAATTACATATAAAGTAATCGGAGGTAGTATTTTTAATTTCGACCGTTTATTTTTAAAGATCAATCTTGTCGATTCATATATCCAATTAACTTAAAAATTTATCTAGTAATAATAAATAAAAATTTATAAAAATATTAGTTTTAAATCCAAAAAACTAGTTGCATCAAATAGCACTGACTTAACAAATTAGAGATAATTTTCCCAGTAATCACTCTATTTGTTAACAAAGTAAACTAGTTTTATTTATAAATAAAAAACTGTTTTCCAATTATTTCACAACCAAAAAAAGAAATAACTGTTATTCACAATGGCCATTGTTATTGAAGTTTCAACCTTCAAATTGAAGAAAGTAAATGCTATGTTTAGTCTTAAGTTTAACTCTTGCCTGCTGTTTTATTAATAATCAACATAAGATCAGAGTATCTAAGATCTACAATTTTTCCACCAAAATTATTAAATGAATCATCATCTTCGTCATATATTAAAACAAAATCGTAAATACAAAAATGGAAGAATATTAAAAAAGGGATTATAATCATTGATTCACTTACAGTTACACTAGTCTCTAATTCTAACTCCGATCTGTTTTATTAGAATTAAGAATTATATAAATGGATGGCTAATACCTTACTGAGTTACTGGGGAAGATGAATTCTGTACAACGTATTCTTAAAGTTGAAACTAAATGTCCTACAAACTGCATTTACAAATAGAGTGACTATTGGAAAGATTATCTCTAATTTGTTAACTCTGTGCTATTTGATGCAACTAGCTTTTTGGATTTAAAACTAATATTTTTATAAATTTTTATTTGTTATTACTAGAATTATGTAGTCAAACAAATGAATGACCATGATCTAAAATTGCATATCAATGGTCCATTTTTAAAGATTACAATGGCTACAAAATTATTGTAGCCATTGTAAAACTGTCCCTTTTTGCCACTTTCTTTTGTAAAATAAACATAACATAAAACACCAAACTCAAACTTACAAATATCACATTATAGAATTTTAACAAGCTATGGTCTACAACTTTTATGTTATGTTTAGTGCATGAGATTAATAGTTCCTCTTTTTTTTTTTTTTTTTTTTTTTTTTTTTTTTTTTTTTTGAACTAATAGTTCCTCTATTTGGCTTTCGAACTTTTATGAACGAAACAATCAATCACCAATGAGAAAGCAAAATGATTAATAAATGCCGAAGCAAATATTAAAATCTTAGCTTGTAAAACAGATATATATGTTAATATTATCGTAAAAGGGAAAGTGTAAAAGATAGTGGCTCGTAACATAAAAGAAGACAAAGGTAAAAGTCCATTACAAATTGAAGAAAACGAAACCCTTCACTCTAACTAGTTCGATACATTAAAATAAACATCCTAGCTAGCTTAGTCTTTAGTTTTCACCCTTCTTTCATTAAGTGGTCTCGATTTCACTTTCCTGTCCAATTTGTAAAGCACAGTTCAATTTTTATTCAAAAAAAGAGATAAAGAGTAAAGATTCAATTAGGCAAATGTAGCTAGACATCACTACCTTAAGCATGGTTGATGTAATTAAACCTTCACTTAACCTTTACCTTGGCATTAAACCCTTTATAATCTTTGATAGCATACTTTCTAATATTTTCCCGAACGAACTTTTGGTAAATAAATGCTGCCCCTCTGAATTGGGGTAACACCAGCCACACCACCAACAACAACTTCACCGTGTACCAAATTGGTATCCTGTAACAAGAGACGTACATACAATGGGTTAACGATGGGTTATATATACTCTGTAACAACATATATAAGTCGTCTCATTCATTTATTTGAACCATTTACAGTGTTGGACACTAATACAACTGTCGCACATTCTTATGTTGTGGTGCAACCATGGTACGTATAAGGTCAAAATCGGGCACTTGCCACTTATAACTTATCAAATATTAATACATATTAACACCATGATATGTCTTATTATTTTGTCACAATATATAAAAGCGTTATTAATAGAATCTAATAGGTCATTTAAATGCAAATTACTCCTTGAACGTTAAACAATGTGATTAAATAACTTGATTGACATTCTAATTAACTTATATGATCACAGGATATATAAACATACCATTCAAGCAAAGGCTCCAATACCATCTCAGTAAGGGTGAGGAAAGAGTACAAGATCCAATATGCCAACCATTGCTCATCATCTTCTTTTGATGGGCTCTCTATAGCCATCACTGACGCATACCTAAATATACACCGAAAGCCGAAAATAAGTAACTTATATGATGATACAAATTAGCAACATGAATATGATAAATTCGAAACCACTTTTGTTTTTTTTTTTTTTTTTTTAAATAGCGTAGGTAGGTAAGATGAATGATCAAATTAATTAAAGCAAACCCGAGTTTATAAATTCAAAACCACTTTTGTGGATTTTTTTTAATCGAGTAGGTAAGACGATGAATGACCCAATTAATTAAACCAAACCCGAGTTTATCATCTAGCCTTTGCCTAGGCTTGTGGGGACAAGAATGGTGACTTAAAGTTAGCGGTATTATCGAACTTGTGACCTTCAGCTTAATCCAACTGCACCGAACTCTTTTAATAGGTTCCCTTTTTTTATTTTTTAAATGAAAAACAAAAGAAGGCTTAGGAGACTCTGCTCTCAAGCCCAGGCCAACAAATTCATGAAATATTCAATTGACAACATAATGATTTTGAACTAGGATCAACATCAATCGAATATTAAGCATAAAAATGACAAAATTAGAAGAAAAAAAATTACGTTTTTTTTTTTTTTTTTTGGAAGGCTTCAGCAATAAGTTTTTGGTGTTACTCTAGAACTGTAACTGATCCTAGTATCAATTTGTACATCACAAAAAACATATTACCTCGATTTCTTATTATTTACTACATACAAAGGAGTATTATTTATGAGATAAAAGATTAAACAGAGGTAGTATAAAAATTAGAGATTAGACACAAATAGAGCCAAAACTTGGATGACAAGTAGATTAGTTAACTAAAATCTTAGAGGTGGTGCTCAAATTTTAAGATGAAATCACGTTTACATCATTTTCATATTCCAAACCGAAACAATATTAACGAAACAATGAAATACTTACAAGGGATACAGCAGCATTACCACTGGCCTGCATAAAAAAAAAAAAAAAAAAAAAAAAAAAAAAAAAAAAAAAAAAGGCATACCAAACAAATTCAGGAAATAAAATAAAATATATGTATATGTAATCAAACAACAAAAACCAACTTTAAAATATCATCAAAATTGCAATAATAATAGAAAAAAAAAAAAAAAAAAAAAACAATTACCCAAGAACAGAGTGAAGATGAGTAAGAAAAACCCAAAGTTTGCTCATGTTGAATTGCTTTGTTGTTTGAATTAAGAGTAGCAAAACTATTTAAACAGACAAAATGAAACTTTAAAAAGAAGAAGAAGAAAAAGAAAAGCAAAAGGTTTGAGAAGTCCAATGAAAAAACAAAGCAAGGATCTAAGTTAACTTGGAAATTAGGAATCCTAAATGAAGTTACAAGAAATAAGAAGAGAATAGCACGAGTTTATATGCACATTTGTAAAGGAGAAGTCACGTGGCAGGTGGGTATCTGATTCTGCCTTCGACGTGTCTTACCAAGCATTGCACCGTCCTACTTATCAATTGAACATGTATTTTTGTACTTTTTCATCATTCTATCTCTTCTTGATTTCCTTTAATCATACTAATTATGTTAAATTGTAAATTAAAAGTGTACCAGTTCATGAATCATGATCCATCATTTGATAATATGTACTCGTACTCCCTCCCTATCAAATTACAAGTACTTTTTTGATTTCTGAAGTACTTTATATGTACGTGTATCTTTAAAATATTCACTTTTACTTACAAGTATATTTTTTTTTACTAATAAATTATTGATCACTCTAATAATTTAAGATTTACATCAACAAATGTATCAATTTAAAGTGATATAAGTAATCTAGGACAAAGAGATTACACACTTTCATTTAATTTCATATCTTTAGGTGTCAATAAATAACCTACCTACCTTAGTATGTGAATATGTTGCTACACATGGGAATTTGAGAATTTGACGCATAAGATAAGGTACACGATATGGAATTTGATCATTTTCTTGTGTTGAAGTGATGAGAAACAATTGAGCTAGTTGTTGCTTGCTTTGTATTATCAATTATTTCCTATGTACAATAACAATTATTTCAAGTTTTGAAGTGTTACGACTCTCTTGATGAAGAATAAGAAAGGAGTTTCGAAGTGCTTAATCAAGGAAAAGTTCAATGCTTAAAGAACATGAACATACTTAGGATATGGCTTTGTCTTAGTTTAAATTTTTGTAAGGTTGCATGAATGATTAGGTAAATTGGCGAATTGTTTTCTATCAAAAGAGTAAAGTGTTGTAAGTACCAGAAATAGTTAAGCTACGCTGATATATTTGGGACACTACCAATTCAGAAATTAGAACAAAAAAGTCTGTTTGCTACACGTGGTTTGTTAGTTAGCGAACTTTCAAATTTTTCAAAGACTAAGGATTATTCTTTCCTTCATGTATTTTTAGCGAGAGAAATGTTAGCTAACTATGGAGACCATAATTGTGCTAATTTAGGAGAATGAACTATTTCGCTTATATCTTAGGATACTATTTCGGTTCTATGTATGAAAACAGAATAATAAACTAGGTATCTTTCTTTGTGTGTATTGTGTATTGTACAAAAGTATATCTTCAAGGTCACAAAATAACTCATCTCCAATTACTATTTGACACAGCTATATATATTTCCAATTTTTTAGAGAAGAGAGAAAGAGAGGATGGTACCAATGCTTGATCCCTAGACCTAGAGTTTAGAGGTTTATACTCTCACCACTAGTCTACAGGGAAAGCTGGTATATATATATTTCCAATTTGACTTAAGTATTTCATGCATAAAATTTAGATAGTCATTCAAGATTTTCAAATACTCTTAGGAAACAGCTCATCAATTTATACACTTATTGTGCACACGTTGTTTGGATTTATGTCTCTTACCATAGCTTTTTGAAAAAGCATTACCAAGACAGCTTATGTATTAGTATTAATATAATGATCAAAGCAATAAAGTACATACATAAATATGTATTAAGGAGATATGATAACATGCGAAGAAAAGTTTCTCTCGAGAAGGGTTATTATACACCTTTAAAACATGCAAATAGAAAGAAAAAGATACAAAAGGAAAATTATTGGGGGGTTTTCCATCAATAAAAGCCGATGGAAACTGATATACGTACACGTTTTATACTGTATATTATCCCTGGTTTGTAGTTGATTTCGTATGGTTTTGAGCTCTTCGGAGCCATTTGTAGCTAACATTCTCTCTTCTACTGTGGTTTGGTCTATTAGTTGAGTTTTGTAGGAATTCGAAAATTTTGGACATTTTGGAACCTTTTTTTTGGATACCACAAGAGTTTGATAAAATAAGGAAGCAAGTTTTTGTGTTCGCCCTGGCTGCTAGGGCGAAGGCATGGAAAAGCCACAAAAGAATTATTGATGGAAAAAATGTTTTACTCCCAGTTGCCAGACATGTGGCGGCATTGTCTAAGCATAATATAGTAGATGGCGATGACAACTTCCCTCGCAATGAGAGTAGAGAAGATGGTGAGAGCAGCTTCACAATGAGAAGAGAACCCCGAGATTTTGGCACGCTCGAATAGGCGACAATGCCCGAGTTGAACTTGCAAAAAAAGGGACTTCTAGCGCCAGCTTTGAGGTATAAAGAATTTCTTAGCTATTGTCCATTCGATTGGGTGATCACTTCGTCCTTGCAAATCGGACGAAGCTATGCAAAGCCATAAATCTATTTTTTGGGATTTTTATTCTTGGGTTATAAATACCCCTTGAAAAGCCGATTAAACAAATAAACTTAGTTTATTACTTAGCCTTATATATTTTCTCCTCTACTTAGTTTTTAATTTCAGTTTAATTTAAAGATTCAAACTTTTGTCATCAACAATTGATCCTCTTTTCAATTCAAGTATTTGTTATTCATCTAATTCTTCTCTTTTCCTTTTATTTTCCTTATAAGTAGATTTGATTATTGATTAGGGAAGTCATTGACGACTGGAAAGTGGTCTTTGGTATTTAAAAGGCGTACTTTTTCTCTAGCCAATTTGATTATTATATTATTAGAGGTATAAATATTATTGATTGTGTTTCTGCAAAGAGTTATGGGAGAGCTTGCTCGTCTGGTCAAACCGAATCCGGCAAAACAAAGAAAGTCAACTGCCTCGGGGGGTGTTCCCGAGAAAGCCCCTTCGACGGTCAAGTCAGTCAAATCTGTTTAGAGAGAAAATTTGTAATAAGAGAGAGTGTAGAAAATTAATTACCCAGCTAATCTGAGTAGATTAGTATTTATAGGAGAGGATTAACTGACTGATTAGGCTTTGGATTGAAAGGAATGGTGTCCTTCCAACAAGTGTATTATTCTGATAGAGGGTTCAGAATTATTACAGAGCTAATTCTTCAGTAAGGTCAAGTGATCGGAATGCTTAGGTGGAGGCCGCTTTCGATCAGTAATATTAAGGTACAATTAATATTACAGCTTAATCTTAACTGAACCCTTCGGATCGAACCCAATCGAACAATCGATCCGAGACGAAAAATTAATCCGAAGGATTCAATGAGTCGTCGGAGTTTTACGAACACTGACGTCAGATATCGAGCCTAAGGCGTCGAGATCGAGCGTCGCAAAATCACAAGCAACAAGTACGAACATAGCCGTAGCATCACATTGGCCTAGCCATGTGAGTGCTAGGCTAGGCTAGTTCATCGCAAGCCTAGGCGCACCATGTGTGTGCTAGGCGCGCCATGCGTGCTAGGCGCACAAGGCAGCCCATCGCAGCAGCATGCTTGCGTGTGTGCGTGCCTTCGCATGGCACAGCACCACCGCATCATGCGTACATGGGTGCCTAGGTGCCATCGCAAGCTCTATCACAAGCCTACGCATAGCACAACACTATCGCATGGCTAGGCCAGTGTGTATGTGCGTGTGCGTGTAGGCCATCGCAGCAACAGCAGCACGCTGTGCTTGCTTGCTTGCGTGTGTGCCTTCGCATGGAAGCACCAAGCAGCGAGCAGCGTGCAGCGTGCAGCGTGCTAGCAGCCTCGCACAGCAGCAACATGCCAGGTATCGCCCAGCGCCCAGCAGCCAGCAGCATGCGTGGCTCGCTAGCAGCACGCATGTGCTAGCTTTGCATGCCGGTGCGTGCTGGGCATGCTAGCTGCGCACACCCTGGCAGTGCATGCTCGCCAGCAAGGCTAGCTGCCAGCCCAGCCATTGCTTGAGGGCGGTTTGAGGAGAGTGGGGACCAATGCTTGGAGAAAAGCCTTGGGGAGCAAGGCAATGGTCCCCCCCCCATTGGTTTTGGTCCTCACCTAACCAATTCTCTCCTCTTGACACTTGTTGCCTTGTGATTGCATTTGCTAAATAATTTATTTTGGAATTAAATAAATTAGTGCATTTGCACATGATCCCACATTGATCATGAATTGGGATTCAAGTTCCCATTCTCTATAAATACCCACTTGGTTGGGATTTTGAGGATACACACTTGAGTGGAGCTATAAAGGCATCTCCATTGTTGAGATTACCTTAAGTTCATAAAACTCCAAAGTTTATATTTTTTTCGGGTCCCGACTAACCTTCGAGACTTAGGACGATTGGGTCGGGTTCGAGGGTACGAACGGTCGGAGGCCTTGCATTTGCAGGGTTCAAGTAAGAGCTCTTTTAGCGAGCGAAGCACGCGTCTAGGGTATAATTCTTAATCCCTCTTTCTCTTAATTATGTATTAATTATATTTGCATGCTTTAATTACTTTAGTTATCGGGGCGGGTCTTGGGGGGTTTCTTTCCGCGTAGTGAGGGTCACTACGAAACCCTACATGGATTAGGGTTTTTGGCTGTTTGGGCCATAATAGGCACTGTTGGGCCATATTAGGGTTCCTCGGGATGCGTGTTGTTCACGATTCTGGAACATTCCCCTTATGGGGTTTAAATAAGGGTAGTTTGGTAATTTCCGCATTTAATGAACGTGGGACCACAAGGGGGTCCAAACATTAGTCCCACGAAAATTCGTGAAGCGCGCTCCATGATTTGGGAGTTTGTCGGAACAATGTCGATTAAATGAAATCAACCAGCTTGGAAATATGAAGTGTGCCCGAGTCGCGTCAACCTTTTTTTTTATCGAGCGTAGAGGTGCGGTCCGACCCTGGTGTTGAGCGAGCTTGGCCTAGCCGAGCTGCCTAGATGTGCATTGCCTGGGCGTGCTGCCTGGGCGATGATATGCTTGGGCATGCTGCCTAGGCGTGCTACTTGGGCGAGTACTGCCTAGGCGATGATATGCCTAGGCGTATAATCTTGTTCGCGGCCTCAGCTAGGCCATTTGCTTGTGGATGAGATATACCACTAAAGTTTGTGTGTGTTCCGAACCTCTCACATTACTCAACGCTCGGTCGGCTATAGAATTGTCTCCCATTATCTGACCCAAGACTTCTTGGCACACCG